CTCGTTAGGCTTTAAAAGCCTTACAAGAAAAAAAATTTAATATCAAATTTTTCACGTGTAAAAAGAAAATAAATAAGAATGACATTCTACTATTATAAAAATGTGGATAATGTAGCCGTATCAATATATTAGTTTTTGGTCTTTAAAATTCAAATTGAGGGCATTTTTTACTTTCATATACTATAGCAAACGTATTTCGACAGTAAAACATCATACATTCATCTTATCTCATATGCATCTCCTCATACCAACTTCAAAGCTATTGTTCTCTCTTCAAAAAAATAACATCAAACAAAGATAATAGACCGTTTAAAGCTTCAATTCTTAATTCTTAATTGTTATAAATTTTTTATAAGGTATTGTTTAATTTTATTTTACTTTCTTATTTCTTTGAATTTGTTGTTTCTGATCCTAATATTAATGGATCATTGCATTTAATTTTTTCACAATTGCATTTGTGTAATTTTTCTTCAATTCACTCCATAACTTTAAATTTTAGATGAAACAAAAAATAATTTTATCTCCATTTAATTTGATTTGCATGAGTTGATTGTTCTTATATGTGGAGCTCAATTTTGATATCTTTCACAAAGAAGAAGTCTAATATAAGCTCTTATAGGACGCATGTTATTGTTGTTTTCTTAGATTATTGTATTGAGATTGTTGTTTCACCTTTATGGTTAGTTGTTCCTTCAAATTATTGGAGCCTAAGTTGTTTCGATAATAAAATATAATTAAATTAAGAAACTACAAATTGCAAAGAAAAGATTTACATATGAAGCTTTTAGAATAACATTATCGATTGGATATGGCGGAAAAAGGAATCATGGATCTTACAAACAAATAACAGAAGGTCATAAAACCTCATTAGATTGTTATTTGAGGATATTCGTGCTAGAGAGTTAGTGAAATCAACATTGTTGAAAATGATTTTAGTGGTTGTTCAGCAATATTCCATTGTTATATTTGAAAGATGTAGTTTTGTTTTTTTAAACTTTTTTAAGTATTTGAAAGTTCTTTCATTTAAAAGTGAAATATGTTGTTTAAAAACTAATACAGTTATATTTAGCTATGAATATAAATTGATGTTATTTTTTACTCTTTGTGAAACTTCTTTCTCATTTTGTGGAAAATGAAACAATGGTGTTGCTATGACATTATTTAGATGCACATCATTCAATTTTATTTTTTTAAAAGTCAATTTCAAATAACAAAAATGATAAAAATATAATAGCAATAAGCTAGATTAATATAATATATAAGACTAATTTATGAATGAAATACATAACAACTAATAAGATAAATATTAAGTCCATGCACACATGACCAAAATTATCTAATTTCCTTAATAAGTGCTACCAATGTGGTAACTAACTCAGTCTATAGACCAGCTTTTCATGTCATCTCCAATTAAATTAATTATTTGTCAAATAAAAAAATTATTTATTAGAAAGCAGTTAATTAAATAGTTATGACAATTAATAGCTAAGGAGGATGTGTAGATGGTCGCGAATCATGATATTTGGAAACATACACCTCTACAAACTAAAAATTATAATATATATATATATATATATTAAATTATTTTTTTAATTTTTTATCTTAAATATATTAAGGAAAAGTTGAATTTAAAAATGACAAAAAGGAAAAACATTATTTAATGTTATCGAAACGAACTAAAACAAACTTTTTTTGACATAAAAGAAGAGCTAGCTAGCATAAGACAAAAAGATTTCTAGGGAGTACTACAGCAAGCAAATTTAAAATTTTTTTATTACATAAACTGGAAGTGACAGGATAAACTGTAAATATACTTTTTTCGTATGCAATGAAATGTAATATCTGAGATCTCTCTGTTAACTTGTATAAATATTTTAACGCGTGCCTGAGTCCCTGACCTAGGCCGGATAGAGTTTTCATCATGGATTGGTCGAACTCGATATGAAGTTTTAATCAAATTATTATTTGTTGCTGGGTAGTTAGATATCTACGTATTATTTTATGTCATAATTTGTTAAAATGAGTTTAGTTATTCTAGTATTGTTTATATCAACTTCTATTTTGCATAAACTTATATACTATAGATTAATGGGTTTCTATATTCCAAATTAAACATAATAGTAATTTTATACATGAATAATTTATCTCCCAATCAATTACTAGACATGATACACTTTCATTCCATTTTTAATTGTCATATTCGTTTTTACGAAGTCAATTTGACTAATATTTAAAGTAAAATAAGGTTAAATTAATTCGATATTTTAAATTAAAAATTTAAATATTTTAAAACTATATGAAAAGTCTTATAAATAACAATTTTCTTTTCATAAACGTTAATCAAAGTTTTATAGTAACTTTAAGAAAAAACATTAAAATAAACGGAGGGAGCATTATATATATTATATTTAGTACATGCATAACTCACCTTTCCAGAACTCAAAAATTTTATTAAGATAAAAGGAAAAAAGATTTTATCTAGAAAATTTATCGAGAATTTGTCTAGACTGAGATTTTTTCTATATAATTTTACTTTTTTAAAATATTACCCTTTTTAGATTTAATACCTTTTTACTTTAAGGGAAAAAGACTCAAATTGAACTAATTTTTTTATTAAAAAATTGATGATGTGGCGAATTATAATTGGTCATGTATCAAAAATTGTTTTGCAAAACCTCTATTATAAAACAATGGTATGAATGAGTTTTTTCTTGAATGGTAATGGCATAGATGAGCCAAACTTTTAACAATGAACCTTTTCTGAAAGTTTGTTGACATATTTAAGTCTTTTCCCTATACTAAAAAATGGAAGAAAAAAAAAATCAGTTTATGCCATTACCATTCAATTCCGAATCGATCTACTTGCCCATGCGAGCAGCAAAAGTGGTGTAGAATTTAGATTAAAAATACGTTAGCTGCATGAATATGGGATAAAGGCACCACCTTTTTCATGATTACTATAAATTCTTCGACCTTTGGGCTCTGAACAATTCAAGTTTCCTCAATTGTTGATAAATACACTGATACAAGGCATCAGAGATTTTTTTTCAAACCTTTAATCAAGAAAGTAGGCCTAAAACGGAGGGGCAACTTGTTAAATGAAGCATAACTTTTTTTATTTTACAGTTAGTGGTTTTCATATTCCATCAATTCATATTACTGCTGCTACCTACTTATACTTTACTATTGATTGTGCAAATCCAAAATCTTTGCTTTATGCATCGTGATCAGAGTTGGAGATCAATAAAGTGCAACTTCACAGTTCTCTTCTTTATACTATTCAAAACCCAAGAGGGATGTCAAGGGGGAAAAACCTTTTAAACGATTAAACAAATGTTTTCTAAGAGATTGTTTGATCTGACACAAAATTTTAAAAAATATGAAAAGACTTTGCATTATGTGAGATTGTTTAACTGAATATAAAATTTTAAGAATATGAAAAAACTTTGCAGCAAATCAAAAATGAATTTTCAAATAGACGAGTATACATTTTGTAAATTTTAGCCAAATAAATGAGATTCAACATCATTAAAATGTCGATAGCGTTACTAAATATTTGTCAAATTAAAAAATGTGTTTTTAAAGATCCGATTAAAAAGAAAAGTGCGCGAGGGAAGTATATTTTACCTTGAAAGTTGGTAAGTATTTGCCGTCTGCCGATTTCGGTTAGTACAAGAAGATTTGGGGTAATATAGCTATAATAGTTCAAAAAGAAGTTTTTTTCGTAGTTTGTATGGAGATCTCCGTATTGATTTACTATAATATATATTTTTTTTCCAAAATTGGTAAGTATTTTGGAATATATTATTTTGGGATTTTTGAAAATAATCAAGAAAGATTGGTAAAAGGCTGTAATATATTTTCTTTTAGAAAAAACATATTCAGATGTGTTCTGAATTTACCCAAAGCAACAAACTGAAAAAGGATCGAATTAAACGAGAAAAGCCATTAAGGCCCTTGGTTTTGTCAAACCATTCTTGGATACATTTGGTAACTTTGTACCTAGTAATGCTCGAATCCAAAACCTACTATCTACCGTACCAAACAAACTCTCAAGTTTTTTACATGGACGTTGGTTTGCGGACATGAAAAGCTAAAAAAGAAATCCACTAAAACCATGGAAGAAGGGCCCTTCGAGAGGAAAAGGTGACCCTCAGAACGCGTTTAACGCAAGGCCAAAATCAAAGAGCCAAAGACGTGAAGTTGGCTGTGGTTAGGATCTTTTGCTACAGCAGAAGAAGTTGCTGTCTTACCTTAATTTACCCCATATGAGAGCTAATTTCAATCCATTGAACAGATCACACAAGTTCTAATGGTTCACTTCCAGCAACAACTTTGTTTCATCAGTATTCCCTAATAGCACTGGCTGGCTAAACTTAAAAGTGCTCAAGCCTAATGTTCACCAAAGACTTCAACAACTCAAGGGAAAAGAGGAATACAAAACAAAACCAAACAAACGCCACTTAACAATTCCACATGTGGAGGAGAAAAAGGAAGTCAAATTCTCGTCATGATCAAGAGAAGCCTCAGATTGATCTTAATGGATTTCTTCAACAGATTTGAATACTGAAAAGAGATGATCAACAGCCTCATAGAGGTCATGATTGTAAATCAGTTGTTTCAGAGTGTGGAGTTTTACTGAAAGATGACAATGTTTCTTTGCTGATACAACAAGTTACAGATAAGACGCACTAGGTGCAATAACGGGTACAGAAGATCACATCACGAGGCAGCAGCAGAGGCTAGTAGATTTGTAGATGCTTACAATGTAAATGATGTGCTTATATTTCCCTCTTCACTATGGAACTTCTGAAAATACTGAACTATTTTAATAGGTCTAATACGACTAGATTTATGGTAGCTGCTTGTATGCACCATCTTACTAGAATCAAAATCATCACCAACTAGAGGGGAAACCTTTTAAACCACTCCTGGGTAATCAATCCCCTGTTCTTTAGGGGTGGGAGGATATTTGCTGATGTTAGCAGACTTGGACAAGCTAAACGGAAACCTTGATCATTGGCATTCTTAACTGACTTTTCCTTGGGAGGTCTAACAAAATTTCTAGCTTTAAAGACAACAGAGACATAATTTTTACATTAAGCAATAACATCAAAATGATAATTCATGATGTTACTACAAGCTTAGTCTAAGGTTTACCAACAATTTGAAGAATATGACTCTGGCAATATGATGATAAAAATCTAAAATCACTTGTAGATAAGGGCATCACGACCAGGTCCTATACCAATGTAATGGATAGGTACCCCAACAAGCTCCTCTATCCTTTCTACATACTCGCGTGCAGCCTTAGGCAAGTCAGAATACTTCCTGATGGAAGAAATATCACTCTTCCACCCAGGCAAAACTTCATACTCCACCTGATGTAGATGATAAATAATAGAAGTCAAAATACAGGAAAGTACAAAATGGTATTAAGACACACAACAGGAGGGAAAAAGATTCAATATGCATAATGAAGGTCTCCAGATATGAACAAAAAATAGGAAAAAATCAAGATACATGGGAGAAAACGACAGACTGAAAGAACAAAGAAGTACCAAAAAAATCAGAAAACTTAGTTTTTTTCATCTCTCAATAACAGGGTAAAGGAAATCAAACAAAAGTTAACTCCTCACAAATGAAACTTCAATGATCTATGCTTTTCAGTGACACAATGTGTTAATACAGCTCAATTTCCCCATGAAGTTGAAACTAATAATCTGGATTTCCAAACACCACAATATCATGCAAAAGGATGTTGAAAGAAGAAAGAAAGATAAAAGAAACTTACCTTTATTTGCTCAAGAAGACGAAGATCAGAGGGAAAAGAATGTAATGCTGAGCCATCAGGATGCCTGTAAGTAACACCCAATTGAATTTCTGGTAGATCTGACAGCACGTCTAGTTTTGTAAGGTTAAGAGAAGCAAATCCATTTATTTGACAGCAGAATTTCAGCGCAACTATGTCTAGCCAACCACAACGACGCGGACGTCCAGTGGTTGTGCCAAACTCCTGCCCAGCAAAACGAAGAAGGTCACCACCTTTGCCCATGATTTCTGTTGGAAAAGGACCAGAACCAACTCTTGTGGTATATGCCTTAACCTGCAGGGAAACATCAGTTAAAAATGTTTACTGCTCTACACTAAATGCAAAATGAAAGACCATGCTGTGAATCGGTTCCAAAGAGCTAGTTGATATGAAGATCATATTCTTTCGCAAAGAGCTGGGTACATTTCATGTTAAACCGATTGACGATGATATATGTACTGCAATATGTTTTTGGAAAGATAATACTAGCTTTATTCCCATAATATTAGCTAGACTATCAGATAAAATTGAACGTCATGAGAATTCTTCATTCTTCAGTGCAAGGGAAAAGCTCCCTTAAGAAAATAAATCAAGTTTGCTTACCACACCAACAAGATCACCAACAACTTTGGGAGCAATGCCAAGACCTGTGCAGATTCCACCAGCCGATGGACTGGATGAAGTCACAAAAGGGTATGTTCCAAAATCTATATCCAACATTGTTGCCTGACCACCTTCCACCAAAATCTTCTTTTTCTGAGATATAGCATCATTCATGAAGTGCACGGTATCTGTAACGAAGGGTTCCAACCTCTCAGCAAATTTCTTGTAGCGTTCCACTTCTTCCCTGAGCATGTCAGGACCATACTTAAAGCCTGGGAATCTTGCAGCGGCATCTGATAATAAAAGATCAAGCTTTTGGGGGAATGTGTCCATATGCCTTAAATCACTTACTCTTAAGCCATTTCTAATAACCTTGCTTGAATAGCATGGCCCAATGCCTCTCTTGGTGGTTCCAATAAAGGATTTAGCTAGCTCAGCTTCTCTAAGCCCATCTATTTCTTGGTGAAAATCAAATAACAAGTGTGCACGATCAGATACCAAGATCCTTCCTTGGCAAGAAACTCCATTAGCTTCAAGACCATCAATTTCTTTAAAAAGTCCCGGTAGATGCACCACAACTCCATTACCAATAACACACAGAGTTTCCTCGTTGAGAATCCCAGAAGGGACAAGGTGCAGAGCAAACTTCTTCCCCTCAGAATTGTATATAGTATGCCCAGCATTGGCTCCACCCTGACAGCAAGAAACGTTATTGAAAAGCTTAGCTATCATAGCTAACAAGTTTATCTCTCAGGCAATATAAGTAAAATGGAATGACAGGATAGCAAAAAAATATTAAGTTTAAAACAAATTGGTAATAAGTAATACGTATGAAACATTAAAAAAAAAATATTTGATATAAACATTGATAATTTCATAATATAGAATTTGAAACAGTTCTCTACAGAACTATGAAACCAAGGTTCCACTAGGCATCTTTAGGAGGCCTCCTTTACCCTAATTCACCCACTTACTGCAACCAAGCATATCTCACAGAATTTCCACATAACAAAGCAAATACTGTTCTTGATATGGCCTAAAATTTACTCCAAGATGTTAGCTTTGCAGTATGAGTGTTATTTAAGCGGTTAAAGCAAGTTATTACTCACCTTTACAAGGTTAAGATATCATGCATATCAAATTGTTTATGAACATAAACTCATATAAATATACCTGACAACGAGCAACAATGTCGAAATGTTTAGCCAGTATATCAACGAGCTTTCCCTTTCCTTCATCGCCCCATTGGCAACCCAACACGCCGGATACCTGACTGAGTGACTCAATTCGTCTCAGTCCTGACTCATTAACCCCCTGATGGTCCACTACCGAGGCAAGAGGCTTTGTCGAACAAACGACAATTGAAGCAGTCTTCTTCCTCTGCTGGAACTGATTGAACCTATAACTATAGGTCCCATTGCAACCGAGGATCCCATTCCGGTGAGTCGCCGTTGCCGTAGTGATTGGATTGGAATCGAGTCTTAGAGTTGAGATGTTCATGGTAATGGTAGTGCCGCGGCGGCGTGCGGTTGCGCTGTGCACGCTATAAACGGAGATATGCAAGAGAGAGGAATAAGAAATGTTATTTTTTCAGGGTTTAGGTCCAATTCATTACGTGCGGCAAATATTATACGTATTCATATCTTCTCGTTTCTCTCTTTGTTTCCTTTTTCTAGTTTTATTGAACAACTTTATTATCCTTGTTAGAAAATAAATTAAGATATTTATTATTTAAAAAATAAAAATATAATTGAATATAATAAGTATTGACTAATTATTAGTGTAGAAAATCTAACTGAATAACAGTAAAAACACACTCATATTTTAACATTGGTGATTTGAAATAACTCTTTATTTTTTAAAAAAGGATATTGATGACAAATAAATTAATCCCGTTAAAGTACTCTTTAAATGACATTTACTTTAGGTACATCCACAAAATTTAGAATTGTTTTTAACTTTTTAAACCCTTATCAAGTGAAAACAAATAAACAACAAAGGAGAGTATATAATTTGATTATTAATAGTAATAATAATAAAAAAGGCAGAATCAGTGTTTGGGCCATTTGTGGCTTGATGTGCATGACGTTGAATGAGTACTTGGATCAAGTTTTTGCGCGAATTTTCCTTAAAATTGATCTGTGTTAAATTTGTCTTTGTTGTTCGTTTAATGAGAACGCATGGAATCAAAGTCAATCGGACTAAATTCACTCGGCGTATAACTTGATGCAGTGACACTACATCAAGTTCTCCTTATTTGTTGGCGCTACATATTACTCGCCAGGAATTTAGTTTCTGTCCGAACATGGCCAGATCAATCTTAAATACGTTGATATGCTGTGTGCATTGACCAAACCAAATCAAAGAGTAGAACTTATTTCAAAATATTCTAGTAACCAAGACAAACAAGTTGAAATGAATGGAGTGATAATGGTGGTAAGTGAAGGTGGCTTTGTGTATTACATATTTCATGCCTGGTTAACCTATTCATGAGGGAGAAGAACAAAGCAATGGATCAACAGGACATTTAGCTCATGGAGTTCAAACATCATGTAAAGCTCTATATTAACTTCATAAAGGTCATAACAATGGGAGGTCCCAAGTTAGAACTCACATCTTTATGATAAACAAGAGAAATTCAATGATCTAAAAGCCATCTAAGTAATGAAAATGAGTATAAACACTTCAAGCTAACAAAATCGTCCAAAAACATCCACCTACACAGTCAAACTAGTCTTATTGGACTCTAATATCAGGGGCTTCAGCCAAACCAAGCTCCTCCTCTAGCTTGGTCCAAGCTTTTACCAAATTAGGAGGGAACTTCTTCTTCACGGTCCTACTCATCCCTTTTGCATCTTTCAACTTTGATTTCTTCACCAACCCTTCCACCAAATACGTGAGTGTATCGAAATCCGGGATCTTTTGAACTTTCACACTCTCCTTGAACACCTTGTAACCAGTCTCAAACCTTCCCTTCTTACACAAATAAAGATTAAAGTCCTAAAAGTTGCAGAATTTGCATTACACTCATTTTTCTCCAGATCCTCATAAACCATCTCTGCCTCGTCCATCAATTCATTCTTACAATAACAAGTCATCGAGTAACTGTAGCTAATCGTATCAGGATTTAATCCAGCATCGCTCATTTCCTCAATTAAAGTTTTCATGCCCTCCAGATCACCACCCTGAATGTTCATAATCTTCACATTGTACGCACCAACATCTGGACCACACCCTCTGTTCACCATCTCGTCTCATAACTTCTCCGCCTCATCACTCTTCCCTTTCTTGTAGAATGGATGTAGTATAGTAGTGAAAATAACCGTTGTAATCTCCACAACCTTTCTCCTCCATCTCCTTGAGTCTTTCCATTGCCATTTCCAGCAACCCCATATCACAATGACCTAATCAGTAATACTGTATGACCCTTGAATTCTTTTGCTTTGCTTTTGGTGTAAAGTGGAGCTTGTAATTGCTGCTGACCCTCTATTAGATTTCATATATATCCCCTACGGTAGTAAAAGGAATGCTGCTAGCCTTGTACAAATATGTCATTACCAACTCATAGTTGCTCTTATGAATAAAATACTTACCTCATCAAAAAGAAAAATTCTCACCAACTTTATGTGCAAGTCGTCTAACTCCTCAATAATCTATGTGCCAAGACCTTCTCCTTGAATGGAAACTTATGATGTGCAAGTTGCAAGACTCGCAGTGAAACCAACCACTTGCACGTGCACCTCCACTCACACATCCAACAGATCAAGAAACCTTAAGTTCATACAAGTATTCTAGCGTAGGACACAAGAACCTCAAAGTTTAAGCATGCTGACCCGAAACATAGAAAGGCAAAATTACTTCTCAGAAACTTGATATCTCAATTCTCAAGTAACATGTGAGTAGCACACTTGCAAATAAGAGAGGGATGTTACTACAAATGGCAAGATCAACCTATAAAGGCAAGATAACTTCTTAGGAAATATTATTCCAAGCCTACAACTAGCAATCAGAACACTTGAAAATAAGTGGCATTACTCCAACAGGTAAGATAACTTCTTAGGTGTTTTCCCTTCCCTCCCCACCCCACACCCAACTCTGTCACTAACAGTGAACCTTAAACAAGCATGCCTCTCCCCCGCCCCTTCACCCTCTATATCGAGAGAATGGAACCTTAAACAAGCATAATTCATCCTTCTCAAAGTAGTTTTCTTGCCTAGTTCAGTTTGCAGGTTTTCTTTTTGGTATAAATGCAGCAGGCGAGCAGACACGCGACCAGCTTGGGATTGAGGCATAGTCGACTAATTGAACTCAGTCGCCCATATTTAACTAGTCTAACACAACCATCATACTTGAATTTTCTCAAATCACAGACAAACTAACCTGTCAATCACATAACCTGATCCAAGCATAACATACTATTAAACACAATTACAAGCGAACAATATGCATTCCCGAGTGAAACTGAAAAAGAATAATATTGTCAACCATTGTCATTTCACAATTATCATATTGCTGCGTTTACAGCATCCAACGTTTCATTAGAACTGAACAAAACAGTAAGCTCAAACTTCAAGTCTACGCTTAAAAGTTTTAACATTTATTTCCCAACTTTCTAAAAACACAAACTATAAACAAGGAAAACTATCCCCATTTATCGAAGCCCTAATTTGACAATCCAAAAAAGGGCGGAATTCAAAACCATACCCGAGCAGATCCACATATTATTCCGCATCGGCGGATTCAAGTTCGAGGCGTTTTAGGGCTTCTTGGTGGGCCCAAGTTTCAAGGGTGAGATCGGGCTTGGCATTGAGTCCCACACCCAGGATGACGATGGTGAAGAAGCTGGTGATGTAGCAAGGGAGTTCCCAATCCTCCCATTTACGGGACTGTCCAGGCGGTGGTGGAACACGGTTGAATAGGTATCCGTTAGGTCGATCCTGGTGGCCCGCAGTGGTGAATGGATTCGGCCCGTGTCCTCCTCTGGTGCGGAGGCCCGAACTAACACGGGCTCGTAGCGCGCCGGCGGCGGTCGCTAAGGGTTTCACGGACGGCATCGTTGGACAGATGAACGAAAGTGTGTGAGAGACTGGGCCACGGTTGAGTATTTGTGTATTTGTGTTATTGGATCGCCCGTGCTGTGAAAGCGGAGCCAAACGTTGTCGTTCTATGAAGGGCAACGTAAAGGAACTAGGCTTAAAAAGTGTGTTTCGGATTGATGTTTCTAGGTCATAATTGCTTTAAAAGAATTTTAGGGCCTTTTTAGATAAAATAATAAAATGGTATGGTCTGTTCGAAATTATTTGTCATGTCACATTTTTTGAAAGTCAATTTAATGAATTTTTAAAATTTAATTAGATCAAATTAATTTAATATTTTAAATGAAAAATTAGATATTCTAAAACGATATGAAAAGTACTATAAGTTATAATTTTTTGTATATTAATATAATGAAAAAATATATCTCAAATGTTAGTTAAAGTTTTTATAATTTGAACATTAAAAATAGAAACCATAAAAAATAATTTCGGACGGAAGGAATATTACTATTGATTCAAAGTTAAAATAACAAAAATAAGTTAAAATTCAAAAGTTAAAATTTCTAATACTTGTAATTCATAAGTTAAAAATTAATTTATACCGTTTTTTTAACGTGAAAGTACGGAACATAATCTCATAAATATTTAGTTTGTAATTGAAAATATACAACAATATAATAACATGTATACACTAATAATTTTAAAAAAATTTAAAACATGATTTAAGAAATTCATAAAAAAACAAATCTTCTAATACTATCTTTTTATAAATAGAAATAATGCAAAGATATAAGATATTGCAAGAAACAACAGAGCTTCTTCTTCACAGTCCAAACTAAGCTTTGAACACCTTGTAACCAGTTTTATATCTTTCCTTGTTGCACAAATAAAAGATTAAAATTCTAAAAGTTGCAGCATTTGGATTACACCCATTTTTCTCCAGATCATCATAAACTATTTGTGCCTCGTCCATCAATTCATTGTTACAATAACAAGTCATCAAGTAATTGTAGCTAGTCGTATCAGGTTTCAATCCAACATCGTCATTTCCTCAATTAAAGCTTTCACGCCCTCCAAATCACCCCCCTGAATGTTTATGATCTTCACATTGTATGCACCAACATCTGGACCACACCCTTTGTTCACCATCTCGTTCCATACCTTCTCCGCCTCATCATTCTTCCCTTTCTTGTAGAATGAATGAAGTATGGTAGTGAAAGTAATCGTTGTAATCTCCACACTTTTCTCCTCTATCACCTTGAGTATTTTTATTGCCATTTTCGACGATCTCATTTCACAATATGACCTAATTAGTATATCGTACGACACTTTATCTGGTAAAAATCCATACTTCACTGAAATTTCATCAAGCAGCTGGGGGACACAATCATATAGTTTTGAGCGCACGCAAGCTGATAAAAGCACATTGAAGGAAATAACTGGTCTGGGGGTGCCTAAATCATCCATCTGATGATAAATTTTGAGTGTGTGATCAAACATGCCGACGACACCATAAGAACGAATTATGGATGAAAATTTTGGGTCTATTCTTGTGAGATTCGAGGAAATTTTCGATGTCAGAGAAACGATGTGACTTAGCGAGTCGCTTGACTGTGAATTCTTGTGCATAGCGGGAGGACATAGAGGAAACGTAACGATCATAAACGGAGGAGTAAATCTCGAAGGCTTTATCAGGGTCGTGCTCGACTTTGAGCTTTGATTTTGCTTTAGAGATAGAGATGGTGATGGTGGAAGGTGACGAGGCGACGGCAGCGGCGGTTGTTGTGAGGTGGCGTGCCTGGCGCAAAGCGATGGAAGAAGACATTTTTTCTAGGGTTTAGAGATTGCTTGAAATGGAGTAGGGTTTAAGGATGCCTTCGAAGATTTTCACTTTGATAGTGAAAGGTCGTTTCCCAATGGTTTCATATCACGAAAATTACCAAAATCATTTATTTCTTTGTTAGCCGATCTTTGTTTTAATCGTTTTTTTAAAAATGTATTTAAGTCGAAGTATTTTTAAAATGTTTAAATAAGTTGAAAAAATATTTAATTTAAAATTAAAATAATTCAATTTGATATGTTGAAATTTTTAATTTATGATTATTAATTTATAAGTCAAAAAGATAAAAATTAATCTAAACTTTTATATTATATTATTATACGTTGCTTTCTCCAAAATTTAATTTCTAACAATGTTTTGCTTTTTGTTTATAGCTGAGAGTACTTTATATGTTGAATATATATTGATTATTGTTACATAATCCTGATCTATTGATGACAATGAAAATTTTAAAACGTTTAAAATAAATATTGAACAACTAAAAAGTATTAAAAAATCAATAAAAATTTATCAATATTTTAAATAAAAAAAGGGTTAATGTTTAATTGAAAGAAGAAAAATGACTACACTTCTAAAAATTTTTAAGAGTTTTTTCCTTATATGACAAATCACCTCTTCTTCCCTTCCTCCTCCACCACTTCCTTGGCGTCCAAGCACCCAATGGAAATTAAATGTTTAGAGTAATTGACCATAATAATCACAATTTTATTTTGTCATTTAAAATAATTATTTTTCATAGTCATATAATTTTACGTAATCAGTTTTCACAATTTCTTCAATCAAAAATTTAATTTATATTATTTATTTAATAATGATGAAACAATTACAATCCTTTTGAAAAGAAATATTTAAAAATTATAGGTATTTAGGACTCAATCTATCCTAAATCCGACCAAATTTTTAATTCAATCCTTATAATTCTGATTTTACTTCATTATTTTAATTTTCCTTGTGGTTTATGATGCTATAATATAATCATGTCCCTTATTAAATAGTTCATTTAACCTCTGCTCTTGTTTAATCAGACGGTAAAACAGACCCACAGAACTGTTAAAGCGTCAGCTCCAACTAATAAACCCTAAACCCTTCCTCCACCATTGTTACTTGGAGTTGAAGTTTCACTTTTCCATCCAGAAAATTGCAGTGATGGATTTGGACTTCGACGGTCCAAGTAAAGTCCCGAGCAGGCAAGCTCGTTTCGCTCCCAAGAACTCCAAATTAAAGCCCCAACCCAAAAGTGAAACACTGCCATTGAAGGTAGATTCAGAGATTCCGACTAAAAAGGAAGAATTTGTATCACAACCCCCTCTAAGAGATCATATAGTGAAAAACGGAGAGGCAAAAGTTGAGGACGACGTTCTTTTGAATGGAGAGACTACGGGAAACGATCTTGCAGAAGAACAAGTCGGAATGGAAACTGATAGCGATCAGGATGAAGTTGTTCGTGAAGTTGACGTGTGGCTTACCCCTTCCGCCAATGAGGTAGATTTTCTTGATTCAATATACGTCTGTTTTATTGTTGAATTTGCAAATTTTTCTATTTGTGAAGTATATTTTCTTTTCTTTTTCAGTTCTATGTACTCCAATATCCGTTGAGGTCCGAATGGCGTCCCTATGGTTTGGATGAAAGATGCCAAGATGTGAGTTACAACTGCTTTTAGTGTTTTCCTTTGAACAAATTGGTCACTGTTATGTGATATTGCTAAAGACAGGAATTGATTGGCTGGTTTTAAATGACCAGTTTGGATGTCTAAAATCGATTTTTTAATCATTTTGCAGGTGAGGTTGAGACCTTCATCGGCAGAAATGGAAGTTGATTTGGCAATAGATTTTGATTCTAAAAATTTCGACAGAGACTCTGTACATGCAGCAACAATAAAAAAACAGGTTCTTTTAGAGCTATGGAAGCTAGACTTTTATTGTTTTTTCTCTTCTTAAACCAGCAATAAAGACAAAAAAAAGAATCTAGGTGATTTATTTTTATATGTGTAAGACTTGTGCAGGAGCTACCAGCTACATTTGTTGGTTAGGGGCATATTACTTAGTCGGAAAAACATTGCAGCTCTTTTCGTCATGTCGCTTTCCTTTTGTTTGGTAACTCTTTAATTTTAGCATGTTTAAAACCACAAAATGAAAGGACATTTAGTCCCTTCTACCTTTTCTTAGTTTACGACCACAAGATTCAAAACTCTTCATATCTTAAACTATGTGCCAAGTCGAAACGAGTCAAACAAATTAAAATGGAGGGAGTATTACATTCCTCCCATTTCTCTGCCTTAAATTCCATTTGTAATACCATCTGTTTTGGGCCTACTCCTTGCTCTTAATGGACACGTGTATATACAGACAAAGGCAGACCCGCGTGTGGGAGGAGGTGGGGTGGGGGGTCATGGGATCCTGTTGACTTTAGGAGGAGTCGAGTGTTCAATTTTGTTTTCTTTAAGCCTCAATTTTCTTAACAAAAGAGGCTCAAAAATTTTCAAATGTAATGTTTAGAGCAAGAGTCGATCCTACACCCTTTACAGAGCAAATGAGGTGTTGGAACAAGAATCACTTTGTTAAGCTTTGTCATTTTTGCTTAATATATCCACTTCTTTGTAATCAGGTGGTGTCACATTCAACATGCATTCGACTTCACGGTTGTAACTTTGTTGTTAGTAGTAGGATAAGGAGGTTGTATTTTGAGAACTTTGACAATTAGAGTCTGGAAACTCCGCACTTGATATTTGTTCCCTTAGCAGGAATTACAGTTCTAATTGTTTGACCCAGAATCTGATTGGTTCTGAATTTCTAGATTGTTTCTACAAAATGGGTGCCATCATCTACTTGTGCTGACTTTGCTGTTGGGATCTTCATTGGTGATAAGGTAAATGATTTGTTGTTGATGGCTTGAATGCATATTTAGCATCTGGTCTCGTGGAGTTCTGATTGACTAAAAGTTAGTCCTTCACAGGTTTTATATGTGCTTATCCTGTTCTGCTTTTGTCCTTTTTTTGTAATTATTAAAAAATAACTAATTTGGACCAGAACAATATCGGGCGGCTACACTCTCAACCTCAAATGTAATCAAGTCAATCTTTTATCAGCTTCAAGTTGAAGCAAACTATTTGCTGTCTGCTGTCAAATCTAACTCAACTGTTACCTATGGAGTTGGAAATTGTTATAATACCTCTGGCTCTCTTATTTAGCCCAAGTTCTGCCACTTAATATTAAAAAATTGTCAAGTCCTAGTTATATTCTTCTGTTTCTTATATAAATTGGTGTGAGGAACTTCAAGTAAAATCTCT